GGACAAGGATAGCCTCATGAAAAAGAGTCACCTGGGACAAAGTGCGAACAGTCAAAGGCTGCTAGCCCTTTGGCTGTAAGCATTTAAATAACTTTGATCGTTTACAGTTCCTTGTCAATCCACTGCTGAATGAAAGCCTACTAAGGGCCCATCACTCCTGGCGGACGCTCGTCAGAGGAAGTTGATGAACAGAAGGTGGGAGTGCATGTCACTCGCCACTGATGTTAGCGATGGCTGGGATTTGAACTCGGGTCACTGGTTTATAGCGCAGTGCTACTTCCCAGCTAACCTTGCTTCTAAGCCACGATTGATTCTGCACGATGGCAGAAAGTTTCCGATCTTTTGCAGAAACGTTTTGTCATCGTTGGCTCCTCCCTAACCCTGCCATAACCCCTCGGTAACACCTTCCCACTTTTGGTCTCAATTATGCCACGATCAGGGGTGGATTGCGTACAATTTGTTTACAGAATTAGATTGTGTGTGAATTCCAAAATACGTTTTTGCCCCCTCATAAAAAGTGACAGGATAACGATGAAGCCAGCCCCAGTAGTTCTCATCTCTGCACCCACCGCACCGTCACATTAGTTTCTTTACGTCGAGTGTTTTTTTACTCTCAGTCCGTGCTTATTTTGTTTTGGTTCTCCTTGCCGTATTTTAAATTATTATTTGCCATATTGGTGACCCAGGTCACGACTTGCATATGTACTGTTGAACTTCTTTCGCACTGTACGTAACCAATCGCGCTCATCGGAGGTGCAAAATATGAGACTGTCAGGTGCCTTGCATTCCCGCCTGATTAAAATGAAGTAAACTAAACTCTGTTCACTCATGGCAGCTCTGATAACATTTTCAGACCGTTGTCCAGCAGATTAATTTGAGCAAAGCATTCAGTGAAGGTGGAGTGAACCTATTAATTAAGCCCAGAGGCTTGGACGATTCATTATATTTTAGTACATCCTGCGCAGAGCTTGTTAGGGTTAATTAATAGCTTCGCAGATGCTGAGCCTGCGACATTTAATACTTCACAAAACTGCCAAGTAATAAAACTACTGAAATATTAAAATAATAAATAGCATAACATAGATTCTACCGAGATTGCTTAACATTGTATCTATATTATTAAATTAAACATTTTCACCACTTTGGAATTTTCTCAAATTTGTACGTTATTATTTTTTCACCATTTGTTAAAGCCAGCTTCTTGAGGTTTTTCTCAATCCAAGCCGGTTTCTTGACATCCACAGCACCCCCCCACCAACTACTGGCTACCACTGTGGCGAGATGTTAACTACCTCACCTGGTATACAGGAGGTTGTGGGTTCGATCCCGACCCCGACGCCTGTATATTTGGAGTTGGCATGTTCTCCCCGTGGTCACGTGGATTTTAGTCCGGGTCCTCCGGTTTTTTCCTTCACATTTACATTCATATGTTTCCAGTATTTGGCTGCTATAAATTACCACATGAATAACCGCTTTGTTGAGCTATCATCTGTGGCCAGGTTGCACCTGAAAAAGAGCCGTGTAGCTCAGTGTGCCTTCCCTGGTAAAATGAAGATTGTTTAGTTTAACATCCCCTTGCCCTCAAAACCCAGTGCCCTCAGCTGGTGGTCAATGTTTCTAACCTGAAGGGTGACCTTTGCCCTTGAGATGAACACAGGAGGAATTATGACTGTGCTCCTCGTGGGACCAGAGTGTAGTAGTTGGTAGTAGTCCAAGTCTTATTTGTTTTTTCCAAGAGAACCTCACCGAGTCTAACACCTCTTTTTTTCCAAACAAGCATCAGCTTCTTTGGGTTTTTCAGTAAAGTCAGGTAGATAGGTTCAAAGAAAATAACAAAAAATAACAAACAAACAAAAAACTACGACGTTTCGATTTCAACACAAGCGTTCGTCATCAGGAACGTTTATATTGCGATTGAAACGCCGTAGTTTTTGTTGGTTTCTTTGAACCTATCTACGTGACTTTACCGAAAGACCCAAAGAATATGAATTATTGCAGTCATGAAAGCTTTAAGTCAAGATTTAAGCATCAACTTGTTTGAAAAAATGTGTCTTGGGGAATGTTTCATGAAAGGAGACTGAAACGCCCATATCGCCATGCATGCCAATGGTTAACGCTCAAAGGACCACACAGATGGGTTTACAAACCCACATCTCAGTTTCTTCAGTGAAAGACAACCTGATGCCTCCTGACCGACGCCGGGCTAACTCTGTATGGCCTTGGCCTGGCTCGGTTGTACAGTGGAAAAGAGGTGTTACGGGTGTGCACTGCCACCATCACCAACCACCGCTTTCTCCCGTGTCCCTCCTGAGCAGGCGGCATCGGCGTCGGTGGGCGCGCGTGCCACGCCGCAGCGGTTCTACGCGGGCAATCTGCGTCACCAGTGTAGCCCAGTGACACCCTCCATCACCAGTGTAGCTCAGCGTCACCCTGCGTCACCAGTGTAGCCCAGTGACACCCTGCGTAGCCCAGCGTCACCCTGCGTCACCAGTGTAGCCCAGTGACACCCTGCGTCACCAGTGTAGCCCAGCGACACCCTGCGTCACCAGTGTAGCCCAGCGACACCCTGCGTCACCAGCGTAGCCCAGCAACACCCTGCGTCACCAGCGTAGCCCAGTGACACCCTGCGTCACCAGTGACACCCTGCATCACCAGCGTAGCCCAGTGACACCCTGCGTCACCAGTGTCACCCAGTGACACCCTGCGTCACCAGCGTAGCCCAGTGACACCCTGCGTTACCAGCGTAGCCCAGCGACACCCTGCGTCACCAGTGTAGCCCAGTGACACCCTGCGTCACCAGTGACACCCTGCGTAACCAGCGTAGCCCAGCAACACCCTGCGTCACCAGCGTAGCCCAGTGACACCCTGCGTCACCAGTGACACCCTGCGTCACCAGCGTAGCCCAGTGACACCCTGCGTCACCAGTGTCACCCAGTGACACCCTGCGTCACCAGCGTAGCCCAGTGACACCCTGCGTCACCAGCGTAGCCCAGCGACACCCTGCGTCACCAGCGTAGCCCAGTGACACCCTGCGTCACCAGTGTCATCCTGCGTCACCAGTGTAGCCCAGTGACACCCTGCATCACCAGCGTAGCCCATTGACACCCTGCGTCACCAGCGTAGCCCAGCGACACCCTGCGTCACCAGCGTCACCCTGCGTCACCAGTGTAGCCCAGTGACACCCTGCGTCACCAGTGTCACCCTGCATCACCAGCGTAACCCAGCGTCACCCTGCGTCACCAGCGTAGCCCAGTGACACCTTGCGTCACCAGTGTCACCCTGTGTCACCAGCGTAACCCAGCGTCACCCTGCGTCACCAGTGTAGCCCAGTGACACCCTGCGTCACCAGCGTAGCCCATTGACACCCTGCGTCACCAGCGTAGCCCAGCGACACCCTGCGTCACCAGTGTAGACCATTGACACCCTGCGTCACCAGCGTAGCCCAGTGACACCCTGCGTCACCAGTGTAGCCCAGTGACACCCTGCGTCACCAGCGTAGCCCAGTGACACCCTGCGTCACCAGCATAGCCCAGTGACACCCTGCATCACCAGCGTAGCCCAGTGACACCCTCCGTCACCAGCGTAGCCCAGTGTCACTCTGCATCACCAGCGTAGCCCAGACACCCTGCGTCACCAGCGTAGCCCAGTGACACCCTGCATCACCAGCGTAGCCCAGTGACACCCTGCGTCACCAGCGTAGCCCAGTGACACCCTGCGTCACCAGTGTAGCCCAGTGACACCCTGCGTCACCAGTGTAGCCCAGTGACACCCTGCATCACCAGTGTAGCCCAGTGACACCCTGCGTCACCAGTGTAGCCCAGTGACACCCTGCGTCACCAGCGTAGCCCAGTGACACCCTGCGTCACCAGTGTAGCCCAGTGACACCCTGCGTCACCAGTGTCACCCTGCGTCACCAGCGTAACCCAGCGTCACCCTGCGTCACCAGCGTAGCCCAGTGACACCCTGTGTCACCAGCGTCACCCTGCGTCACCAGCGTAGCCCAGTGACACCCTGCGTCACCAGCGTAGCCCAGTGACACCCTGCGTCACCAGTGTAGCCCAGTGACACCCTGCGTCACCAGTGTAGCCCAGTGACACCCTGCGTCACCAGTGTAGCCCAGTGACACCCTGCGTCACCAGTGTAGCCCAGTGACACCCTGCGTCACCAGCGTAGCCCAGTGACACCCTGCGTCACCAGTGTAGCCCAGTGACACCCTGCGTCACCAGTGTCACCCTGCGTCACCAGCGTAACCCAGCGTCACCCTGCGTCACCAGCGTAGCCCAGTGACACCCTGCGTCACCAGCGTCACCCTGCGTCACTAGTGTAGCCCAGTGACACCCTGCGTCACCAGCGTAGCCCAGTGACACCCTGTGTCACCAGCGTAGCCCAGTGACACCCTGCATCATCAGTGTAGCCCAGTGACACCCTGCATCACCAGTGACACCCTGTGTCACCAGTGTAGCCCAGTGACACCCTGCACTGGAAGTGGTGCACAAACACAATTAACAAAAAACTTTACACATTTGTCAATAACCTTAAGGAGATATATAATAGGTGATGTTTTGGGAAATGGCCCTTCTTCTGAACAGCGATGTGGGTATGCGTGTGTTATGGTTGCCCAATGTATCGGATGTAACCACAAAGGTTGTGTGCCTCTGTTATAATAATTATTACAATGACCCTGAAAGTGCAGAGATATCGAGTGTGCAGGCTGTGCTGCTGCACTGTCAGGGACCCAGGTGCCAGGCTATGAAGAAGGGGCGGAATTTGAATGGGGGATGGGGGGGGCAATTTCTTTCCTTGCACCAGGTCCATGCCAACCACACTACCAATGCTACAGCCCTGCTAGGCGTGCTGTTGCATTGGGCTGGCTGCTGGTGTTGACTGTCGCGCGGAACGAGCGTAGACGGCGGATTCAGACAAGAGTGACGCGTGCACCGTGCAGGCTGTGACGCGGAACATGAGCTTTGTGTGTGGCCGTGCGCTGCTGCTGCCTGCAGGTAGAGAGCCGGGATGAGAAGGCGCGCTCGCTGGAAGACACCATCGTGGAGCCTTACCGCGAGGTGGCGGCCAAGCAGCCCGACAGTGCGGCCCGCGTCCGGGAGCAGCCTCGTCGGAGCACGAACTCCGGCGCTTGCGGCCCAGGTGCGTGCGCCACTCCACCCCTCTTTACCCCACTCCCCACCAGCTCCGCACAGCAACACCGGGGGACGCGCGCATTGGTACGCGTGACAGGAGCTGGCGGCACGGGGAAATGTAAACGTTGGTTGGATGCAAGAGCGGTTGTGTGGCGGCGCAGCGGTAGAGCGAGCGTCTCGCGATTGAAAGGGTGCGAATTCAAATCTTGGTTGGAGGTTGGCTCACCCCATCATCTCTCTGGCATTGTAGAGAAGTCAACAGTGGTTGGCTCATGAAGGGACTCACTCCCACCATTGGAATCTGAAATTTTCACCACTGGCTCAGGCTTGTAATTATGAGTTGAACACCACCTCGTTTGAGCAGGTCACCACTTTTGAGTTGAAGGTGCTCTGCACCAACCCACACTAACCGGCGAGGTGTGGTGAAGCGTGGGAGTGAAGTACGGCCAAACAACCCCCTGATTGATACGGCATTGAGAGGCCTTCATCGAGATGTCGATTGACCAAAGGGTTGGATTTTTTATTTGTTATTGTCATTTAAAATTTGAGGTTCCAAATGGGAATCATTTGGATCCTTCACATCCATTCACAACGCATGCACGATTATTCATAAATGGGGTGTCCCGTCTACATGGAGGGGATGAGCATCATTCGCCTAGAAGACGGGGGGCCCTCTGTTGGCACCTGCGAGCCTACTGACCATAGGCATTCTTCCAGACGCCGAGTTGTTTGTGGAAAATTTGGAATGGTGGGTGTGGGTAGGTGGATAGGTTTGGGTGGTGGGCAGGGATGTGTCAGGACAGATAGCTTCATGGGCGTTGATTTTTGAAGCGTGGCAACGCCCTCCCCGGCCCCCACTCCACCTCCTGTGACAACATCACCTTGTGGAGGCTGCCCCCTTATGCAAGCCGACCCACCCACTCCCCCTCCCTCCCAACCAATCTCATTATGATATTAGATTTGTCAAAAGTGCTTTGGCCAATCCTGGCTGAGGCATGACCTTATTCCAATGCTCATGTGTGAGCTCCGGCAAAATCTCTTTGCAGCCAAAGGCATGTGATTTATAAATAGATGTTATTACTGATAAGGTTAGGATATTTGCAGTGTTGGAGCCTGCTGCAGGGAAAATGCATTTTTATTATTCATATATTTGAAAACTGTGCGAAGAAATGAGAGCCGGGACCCAGGAGCACAGGGCCCGGTGGCAGCGTGCAATCTCAGGCGAGTCCCGCGGACGGATGCAGAAGCCCCTCGCAATACATTTTTGGGAGTGATTTTGATCGGCCGTGACTGTGTGGCATCAGGAGGCGGTCCTGGCCCTGCTCCTTCCTGCTCCTTGTTGTGTGGGAAATAGTGCTCCCGGGAGATTTTGTGCAGAAAGCAATTAGTTTGAGACAAAAATAAATAACTTCCCAAAACCGTCGACCTGTAAGGTGACCTTTCATCCATTTTATTTCTTTTAAGCATTTTGCACAACGTCGCATTTCACGGCTCTGGAACGCTGACATTATCGCCGACTTTTAACGCATGAAGTGCAACTTTGCTGTTCAGCAGAGTGAAATGTTTACATCGCCTTTTCCATTCGCTAACCTCGACGGCGTTTATTGTAAATATATCACAATACGGAAAATATTGTCGTTTGCTCATGACGGTCATGACGACGCTGACGATTTTGTCGCCCCCGCAGCTGCAGAGTTTGTGAGAGCAAGCGTGGCAGCTTCGCCAGAGACCGATAGCGCTAGGCTCTGCTCAGCCGTGTCACGTCGCAGTGAGTAACGTCTTTAGCGCTACCCCTGCCCTCGCCATGCCACCTCCACCACCTCCCTCCTCCTATGTCATTGTGCCACCCTAAGCGCGCCCCTATTCCATATCTGCACCTTGCCGGGACGCATTGCTCCCAGCCCGCATTGCGCCACCGGGAGTGGTTCCCACCCATTCTGAGCCTTCTTATCACCATATACCTGGCCTTATTCTTGCTCCCCTCCTGAGCGAGCGCGTGTGGCATGTGTATTTCCTTTATGTGGTCCATGAAGAGCAGCTGTTAGAGATTAAGTTAGCCATTTGATTATTTCACCTGAGAAATTGCTGATGCCACCCCACCCCCCATTGCCTTTAAATACAAATTTTGCGTGGTGCAAAATTATAAAATAATTAGTGGAATCTTGATTGGGTGGTGGTGTCATGTAGATATATTATGTGGTGCATGGTTTGGAGTTTATATCCACACACAGCAGTCTGTGTTTTGAGTGTATTGTGTCCATACAATGACTCTCGCCTGTGTACACGAATGTGCTTACGCAAATGTGCGTACAAGATTGCATATGCGGGAAGCCCTTATTGACCACTGTTCGCTCCGTGCTTATGCATTCTTTTGTGTGTACTTGAGTAGCAAGCACCGGTGTGTGGGGAACGGGTGCAGGGCTGCCTGAAGTAATTTGGTTTGCAAGCTGATTAATACTGTACCGGTAAAAATAGCGAGAAGATGGCAAGAATTAAATAAAAAATATATAAATCCAGGCAGCGGCAGTAGCTGCCGTAGAGGCTGCGGATTCCGGCTGACGATACATCATCGCGCTGCTGCGGCCTGATTTATTTTCCCGTGGAGTGATTTCTCCAGCGCTGACCAGTTTGAAAAACGCCGGAGCGCCGTGCGTAACCGCCCGCCCCGCGCCGCGCATCGTAATGCTTTTTTCCTCTGAATCGTATTAAAATGACTGATGGCCTCTTTGGCTTGATAAATTATTTATCATCCTCCAACAAGTTTCTTACCATTATGCCGCGGCCTCAGAAATGAATTAGCCGCACTCTGATTTTCTGCCGCGGCTGTGGCTTGTTATAGAGAAATGAATATTTTAACAAGGGACTTGCCGGGCGAGAGGGAGAGGGCGGAAAAATTCCCATCTTCTCCGTGCCGTCTCGGCGGTGCGCTTGCTCGATCGTGTTGGTGCTTGCTCATTCGCTCTCCGTAAGCTGTATGAATATTTTAACGAGCGAACCTCGGGAAAAAAGCCGCTCGTTTTTTTTTCTCGTGCCGCTTCATCTCTTGAGAAATATGCATCGCTGTTTACGGGCCTGCCTTCCTTACCAATGTTTTTCCGCTCTTCGTGTCTCTCGCGCACCCGCCCTTGCCGTCATCCCATTTCGCTCCGCTCTTCTTTCCATCAATCATTTGTTTTCTATTTCACCACAATAGGCTATTACACATGAATGCGTCGCTTTCAAAGTTATGTATAAATACGCGGCTCGGGCGAGAGGAGGGGTGGGAAGACGTGAGGTGCGTGTACTCGCGAGATAGCATTTACAAACATCTGCTTGATGAGCCGCACTTAAAAACGGTAAAATTGTGCAAACCGAAGCTGTAAGGAATGGCCATTTTGGAAATTGCATTAAAAGGACAGGTCGGCGTGAGCGGCGCGTAGGAGTGTTTTGAAGTGAGCAAAATTGACAGTACTGGGACACGGTCTCGGATGCCTTTGTGGTGGGCGGGAGTCGGGGGGTGGGAGTAGCGGAGTGGGGGGCGCGGTTGGCCTTGGGGAGGCGAGAGGTTGGTTGCGCGGGGTTGTTAACCCCCTCGCCCTCGCAATGATGTTATTTTCTTAATGGCCGCCGCCGCTAAAAGGCTTTTGGACAGTCGTAGAAAACAAATTGAAGGCCCCGTTTTTGCATGATAATGTCCACGCGAGTCGCGACGAGCACTCACCTTGGCGTAATTTCATTTTGTCTCCGCATTTGGGGAATTGTAGGTGTAGGGGTTAAGGCAGGCAAGGGCAAATGCTCGCAGTGAGCACGGGGGACGCGGGGTGGTGGGCGCACCCACATTCCGAGTCGGAGGTTAGGCGGACCGCTTGATTTAAACTAATCATCTCGTGAGGGCCTCTCGTTCTGCCGGGCCGTGGGTCCTTGAAATTGACCTTTATGTGTGAACGGCCGCGTGGGCTGTCAAAAACCTGCCGTTCTGACAATGTGACGCCCCGCGCGCTTGTGCCTTGAATGATTAGCGTGGCCACTTTTAGCCACTGTCTGCCGTCAGTTCCGTGAGCCGGCGCAAATGTTTTAAGTGCCTGTTTCCCGGCCCTGACCCGGCGCGACATCAAGCAAGCATGCACGAGCGTGTTCACGGCGCACCAGTCCGTTGTGTGGTGCGGTCGTTTGTTGGTTTGTTTACCGGTTCTGGAGTGGGCTCCTTTATGCGCTCATTCCCTAATTACGCATTCGCCGGTGCTGCGTGTCTGCGTGGTGGTGAGATTTTCGCGCGCATTCCACCGGAATGCAGTAAAACGTGCTCGTGTCTGCGCGTAGTCAGGAAACGGTATATTTCATATATATATTCGCACGCACACGCGGGTGTAGAAGGTCAGCCATGCTGCCCTGTGAAAGTGCGCACAGGATTAATTGCCCCTCCATCCGAAGCGAGCTGTAATTGGCTCTCGGGAGACCCACGGAAGGAGGCGCCCATTTGTCACTTCTCCTAATAACGTGTCGGTCGGGCCCGGCTCGCACCCTCGCCAGCCAAGGGCTCTGCTCCAACTCCGCTGACTTAACCCAACCTCCCATTTGTCTGGGATATCCGCGTGCAGAAATTTACTTCCCGGTTGGTAAGCACTGGGAGAAAAAAAACTCCTTGGCCGTAATTTTTCCTTCATTATCCTCATCCTTGGTTAGAACTCTTCGTAATATTAACCCTAAAGCAGCGATGGGGCTGCTCTTGGGCACTCCCTGCAAAACAATGAAAATGCCACTGAGTGAGCGTCGGCCTCATATTGGCATTATTTGTGGATATTTGGGAGCATTAACTGTGACTTACAGCAGAAATGACACACAAAGCCCATGGGCTGGGCTCGCTGACCCCGGCGGCACGGTGCTGCCACGCATGAAGTATGCCATTTGCCTGCAGTAGATAAAAAAGTACCTCTGGCCACACAAGTGTCCCAGGCCGTTAACAGAAGCATTCGTGGAGCACAGCGTCGCAGAGGGCTCACTTCTTTGGTTCTGTTCGTCCCAAAAATGTTGCCAACAATCGCGACGGAGACGTGACCGCTTACTGACGTCCGTGACTTCGCGCCAGCCTCGCCGGTGTCGCGGCGGTCGTGCCCCCCCAACCTAAACACAGGTGTAAAGTGTGGAGTGTGGCGCTGCCCAATGCCCCCCCACCACCCACACCTCCCGCCACCCACCCACTCCCCGACCCCACACATCCACCGCCAGATAATATAGGAGTGTTATAAAAGCAGTAATTATGCTCCGGATTTGTTTCCCACAGTTGACATTTAGATGCACGTGGATGCCAGTGGACGCCGCACGGAGAGGGATTATCGATGTATTGTCCTCGGGAAGAGGTGAGCCACGCTGCTCGAGTCGTTTGACCCTGTGTCCACCCATCCTCCGTCCCGTCCGGCGGTCCGTCGTGCGTCTGCGAGCCCAAGATTATTATTCAGCGCTATCTTGGGCGGCGCTCACGGTTCTACGAGGTGGATGGGGGGGCACCGCCCGCCACCATTTTCTCCCAGCGCCCCCCCCCCCGCGCTCGCGCTCGAGATGGCGCTTTTCAGCGAGTGGTCGCGCAGCGCCGCGCGGTCCTAACGCCTGCAGTGCCGCGGCCGCTCGGCGATCTCAACACTTACGAAACATCACAATTATAATTTACAGCCTTTTGTCAATCCACCGCTGGATGACGGCCTCTCCATGCCTCTTCGGACAGGGAGTTGTTTGACCATACCTAACCATGCTGGTCAGTGGGCAGGTCTGACTCAGATTTTACTGGCCACTGTGGTCTCAACACTTACAGCGTATTTTGTCTCTTAATCATTGCAGACAGCACTTATCCAACAAATCAACCAAGCATTTTCATCCGTTCTATTTAATTTCATGCTTACCTTAATATGGCTAAGTCACTCATGGGGTCTACTTAGCCCATCATCTATCGCTCTGGGGTGAATAAAATAGTTCCGATCTATGGGGAGTCAATATTGGTTATCTATGGTCACTATCATGGGAATGTGGAATTTCCACCACGAGCTCAAGGCCATCAGCAGAGAGGAGCCCCACCCCTACGCTCACACTCACTGCTCACGCGAGCAGTGAGCTTGCTTGATGTGGAATAGCTATAGCTTCCCAATTCAGCCTGCAAAGGAGATAATAATAAATCTCACTGGCTCTCACCTGGTTGAAAAAGGACACTGCATTAAGCAGATACATAATAGGTCGTTTCAGAAGGCAGTGATTGTGCAGAATGAGATTCCTCTGTGGAGCGGGCCATTGAGAGTGAGGATGGCTCCAGTACAGCGGACCCTTAATTTTTTTGACGTGCTTAAGGTCAATAATTTGATGGGGGTGTTTAATATCGAATGGAGTAGAGGTGTAGAGCCCTTCTTTTGTTTGTGGAGTGCAACCTTGCCTCTTTAAACGCAGTTGCGGGTCCCGCGAATTCTGCCCGCGCCTGCTACTGCTGGGAGCACCTCCTACGATGCGGTTCGTTAAGTGGAGGCAGAGTGACGGCTCTCTCTCGTTTCACGAAGATTGGCTTGGCTTGCCCTATTTTGAAAGTCACAAAAATGCAATTCCTGTTTGTGCTTCACGTGCAAACGTGGTACGTGTGGCGCTTGTTTATTTTTGTACGGACGCTGCTCCGTGAATGAGAAAGGCAATGTGCATAACGGTGTGCGCGCACCACAGTTTTGATTAGTGCCACGGCGAGCGCCGCTGTTTGTCATGTATATTTCGGTGGGTTTTTTTACTGAAATGCCAGCGTTTTTTCCTTTTATCTTGCGTAACGACGAGCAGCGTCAGTTAATCGTGGATCGGTGCCCAAATAAGAATAGAGATCTCTAAATCATGCCCCTTTGTCTTCCCATGTGTGTGCTGCCGGCTCTCGCTTGGGTAATTGGCGCATCTTCGCCGGGCCGCTTGCAGGATACGCGAGATGGAGAGAATAGATAAGGGCGATTAGGTGAAGAGGTGGCTGGTGCAAGAAAGAGAAAGAGGTTCACGTCTGCAGAAGGAACAGTAACAGAACGCTAGACCTTTCCTGCGTGTACAGTGTATGCGAACAGGGAAAAAATAGGCGACATTAGAAAAAACCCTGCGACAGCAGCTGCCGTGAGTGAGCGCTGCATCTAAAGCGGCAGGCCGGATGAATATTAATCGGGCTGGAAGGAAGCCACCCGCCATCCCTGCAGTACGGCCGAAGGCGCCCAGGTTCACGGCTTCCTCCGCCACTGCCGCTGCGGCCCCCCCCACCCCCCGCAACACCGCCCCCGCCTCCGCCTGCTCCTCTATCCCTGACAGCGCCCCTGCTCCCCTATATTTCCCCCCAACTGCCCCCCCCCCCGAATCCACCACACTCAGATCTCCGTCGGCTACCATTCCCACGTCTCGCACACCGGATTCGCCTAATTGTAGCCCCATTCCACAGCCGGGCCCCCCACTACCAACCTGCCCAACGGCACCCCCTTCCCTTTCAGCTCCCCACTCCATTCCATCCCCCATTTATTGGGCCCTGTTTGAAACATGTCTGAATTTTTTAGACCGGTTGAGGACGGAGCGTGTGAGCGGGTGAGTGTGCTATGCGGGTGGCCTCTGTAAGCGACTGTGTGTAGCTTATATTAGCTATGCTCCATAAATTTGGTGTTCGTCTCATAAAACGTGTTGGTCTTTTAACGAGATATTACGCGGGTGGTGTGTATGTTTTAATGGCCCTTTATGAATCTGCAGAGGATTTGAAATGGAGCTCGAGACTGCCAGAGAGATGATTTCCTTTTGAACATAGATAACAGGCGTTAATACCCGCAAACGGCATTGACGCAGCATTGGCATGCGCCACTAAAGCATTCACAATTCAATTTGTGTGTTTTTTTGGTTTAATATCATCAGCTTAAAATTTTTCTAATAACAATAACAATAATTCAATGTTGCATGCGCTTGCTTGCTTGCACGCGCGTGCGTGTGTGTGTAGATATATATTTTCTAACTGAAAATAGTGTTCAGCGTGGAATGGCCGGGTGTAAATTACGGCGCACACGCTGACAGACTCAACAATAAATGCCCCATCTCTGCTGCGGCAGATTTAAGTAAGGCTATAGAGCTGCATGGCCAGCATTAACTCAGGCTTGCTGCAATGCGGGAGCGGCTGCGTCACGCACGGGTCGTTTGTCTGCCAGCCGAGCCGAAATTACCCCCAGACAGCCATTATATCTGCAGCCAGCCCAGGGATTCGCCGGGAAAGGTCACGGCGAGATTTCAGCGGCAGAAATTGCAGCCATCAAACTGATTGCCTGTCATAGCGGCCGCGTTAATTCAGCCGGGAGAAAAAAAAAGTCGGGCTCATCTCTCTCAAAAGCGTTTGCTCGCTCTGTCCCAGCGTTCATCTGTCCGTCTCTCACCATTTTTTCCCTCCTCTTTTTCTCTGGTGTACGCTCAGTGGGTTATTTATTTATATATAGCATTCTCACCCTTTGTATTCAATGTCTTGGGGGTAATTTTTTCTTAACTATACGTGCATTTAATCTCCGTAAATTCCATTGCCTTTCTGTAGGGGGTTTTCTTCTCTGTTGCAAATGAAAAAAAATAACAATGCCCACCACTTTGCTACAAGTAAAAGATCTAAGATTATTAGAAAAGCAGGGCTGTATACTGTAGCCATCACCTTTCCCTTTGATATATATTTTTTGTCTTTCGCAATGCGAGACGCCCCAGTTTGGTGTGCCGCCGGTATTAGTGAGGAGGAACGAGCAGGGGGCGGTATGACAGCGCGGCACGCGGCTCTGTCCCGAGCCATGTGCGAGGCCGCGTGGCTCGGTGTGGCTCGATGTGGCTCGGTAGCTGTGACCAACGTGGAGGCCGTGCCGTGTAATTTAATCAGAACGCGGAGGAGAAATGCGGCCACCGCCTCAGCATGTCAGAGTAGAAAATGGCGGCAATGGCAAGCAGCCTCCCCGCGCTTGGCTGATGGTGCTGAGGAGACCATCCTCCTTCAAATACGTGCGACGTTAAAAGCTTTTAAAAAGAAAGAAGCTGACATAATCCTTGACCCGAGTTCGACACAATTGGGAAAATGATGCCTTGCATCCTTCCACTCCAGCGTGTCCTGCCTGTTATTAAATTTTTTACACATTTTTTTTTTACAGATTTGCGATGTAGGTGAGCGTACAGGACAGGGATGCAGCGGTGTTGTTTCCAGGAGCCGCAAGCAGAAACACTGGTTGTTATATTTACCTGTTCCGTGTATCGAGTGAAGGCGGAGTGCTCGCCACGTACACAAGGCAGTGGTTGTTACAAGCAAAGCCCTCCTTTTTCTGCGGGGGAAATAGCCTCGCAGTGTTCATGATCCAGACTGTATTTTTACCACGCAGAGATGTGAAGTTTGGCCTTAGGAACCCTTGTTGAAGTGTTAAATTGCTAAAAAATAAAGCGGGTTGCATGTGTGCGATGAACCTGCAGTCGGAAGAGAGGCTTTTAGCGCGAGACGAATGGCTCGCTGTTATTGCCAGCAGACGCGATCGCTGCCGGAGAGTTCATCCTTCTTGCATTAATTCCCAGCCGGGCGGGCCCTGGCTATTGACCAGTGTCGAGGCCTTGCAGTCGATTAGCAGAATTGATGGGATTGATCGCCTCTCTCTGTGCATAACCCCTTCCAAACCGGGCGCTACCGTCTGGGCCCGAGCCACAAACCTGGCTGCTTGGTGTGGCTTTTCAAAGTCTGGCTGCGGCGTCAGTGTGGCACCCACACCACTGCAGCGCGGTCATAATGCCAAGCTGCCAGAAGGGGCCTGTAACGGTGTTTCAAGCAAAAGTATTTCATGTTTCTGCTGTGTAAAAAAATGAAGACCAAGTTGAGGATTGTAATATGTTTAACAATGTGTAAAAAAGTTAACCCTGCCTCTGTCTCTTAGAATTTAAGCAAAATATATTTTCCGGAGTAAATTAACCGCAAAAAAAAGTGCATTTCGGGGAAGCAGGGCCTGACTGGTAGAGCAGCGGTCCTGGCCTACATTTTAGTTTTCTCTTGAGTTTTGCGGGCGCGTGCCGGCGAGCAGGTGCGGCGGCGGCGTGCATGTGTGCGCGGGGCCCGGCGTGTCGATTTGAATGAGGCGGATCGTTCGGCCGGTATTGACTTTCTGGAGACCGCAGCAGCCGCAGCCTGTGCAGAGAGCGGTCTGCAGGGGCGGCCATATTTGCAGCAGCAGGGCGTCCGTGCTGCCCACATTCTCCGTGTGTCTCTCCAGCCGCGGTGTTTTTCCCAGTCCTACATATTTTAATTCGGCTTGTTGCTCTCGCTAATTTTTTGTCGTTAACGTTGAGTCACTAATAAGGGACGGCCAGACGTGGGTTGGAAGAAATTGAGAGCCGCCGAAAGACAAGGCGGTGATTTTTTTCTCCTCCTTCGTTATGAGATGGATTGTGCGACACTATTGACGACTTTGCGTACATTTGCGGAATAAGCGCTCTTTGTCTTCGGCGCACTTAGCGGGGGAAAAAAAAAATCGGCGACGGCATATTCACGAACGCTCTTCCGGAATTCTCTCATGGATTCTTTCGTCTTATTTTTTTCGTCCCGTTCACTTCAGACCGGCGCTCTCCCCTCCTTGGTGGGACAGGCCGGCTGGCTGAGCGGTAGCCTCAGCGGCGATCTGCTGCTCAAGGCGGAGGTGAGTACCCACCACTATCACCTCCACTCTCGCCACCGCTTGTATTGCCACATCGCTACATTGAAGCATTGCGCTTCAACTGTTCGTCCCAGCGTCGACATTGTACGCGTCCACGTGGAACGCGGTTAAGAGCGCCGTACATTCCAGTTGATTGTAATTACCACAAAATGGATGTGAATCTCCGCCAAAGCTCTCATGATGGGCCTGCTAATGTGTAAATCTAATCAAAGAGCTCGGTTTTATTTTAACGTCTCGAAACGTTCGGTAAAATTTACGCTTAAATCAATAGTTGCGGCGTTAGTGAGTCCCTTATTAGGGGAATGAATCCGATCTGCACAGCTTAGCCCGAGTTAATGTCATCATACGTTTTTTTTCTTCTACTGTAGAGATATGAACTTTCACTTCACCAACAAAGCGCTGGAGAAATTGTTCTAAAGCATTCGACCTTTTGAAAACGTTCGCGTTAAATCGTCGGTGGCGTTCGCTCGTATTCGAAAAACGAAATTGTCTGGGAAAAAAAAAATCAATGCTAAGGAAATTAAGGGTTGCGTGCCGCGTCGTTCTTCTCCCCGGCCGCCGTGCGCAAACAGCTTGCAGCACCCCGAAGAACGCGTCCCAACGTCTGCAGCGGGAGCCGCCTGGCCTGCAGGAGAAGTGGGACATGCCGCAGACCGAGGTGGGCACCGGCGTGCACCCTCGGCACCGGCGTGCGTCCCCGGCACCCGCATGCACGCGTGCCGCCGTTCATCCCTGCAAGCGTTACACCCCCAGTCACGCCGAGCCTCGTGCCTCTCCGTGCGATCTGCGCACGGCACTATCACTCTTCGCGAGCAGACATCACGCTCGTCATAGTACGTGTCGCACACGTACCAGTACTGGTATCTGTCCGGTACGTAGAGGCGTGTCCAGATGCACGAGCTCGTGTGGTTTGCTCGTGATGCGGGCCGACGCGTACATGCTCGGAGCCACCACCCAGCGAACGAATTTTGCTTGACCGCGGAGTGGACTGCACGCGTGAGTGCGACTATGCACAGCACGTCGGTGTACCGTTAATTGTGTACACTTCGTTATTTTGGAGACTTTTTCCTTCTGCTTTGTTGACCAAAGCTGAACAATTTCTCAGTTGCCATTACCGGCGTACGGTGCGAAAGTAAATGAGAAACTCTCTGGAGGAGGCCGCTGCTGCCGCCGCTCACTGTTGCCAGTCACGCAAGCAGCTCGAGCAAAGCCAGAGCCGCAAGTGGCTTCTGCTGGGTTTATCGCCTGAAACTACTTTGGGATTAAACAATGTGTGGTTCTCCAAACATGAGCGTGCTTGTGGGTGAAGTCTGTGTGTTGTCCGATGTTGGCGGAATGATTGATCGATTAAAATCAGTTCTTAGCACTCACAGTGCATGCTCTAAATCGTGGGTGTTAAAACTGTTTGGGTTCCATTGGTACGCATTACGGGGTGAAGCAGTGGCACAGTGGTTAGCACACTCGTTATAAACTTGTGGCAAGTGGTTTTTTAACCGTTTCTGGGCACCCCCTTCACTAACTCTCTAATCAGCATGGTGAAGTATAGTCAAACAGCCCCTACGACGGACACGGCGTGGGGACATCTTCATCCCGAAGAGGCTTGACATGGGGCTGTAAACTACATGAACTATAATTAATGTGACCAGTTCACATGACCCCTTGCGCCATTAGAGATCCCACACGCTTCCCAATGCAAAATAACATTGATTTTTTTATTCATATAATCTCTGGAGCGGGAGGGCGGTAAATCATGACATTGCTACAGAACGACGTTCAAGAGCAGGGGATCTACCAGCTGCAGGTGTCAACGTGAGACAGGGAGGAGGAGGTGGAGAAGCAGAGGGTAGGCGTGGAACCACTGGCCACCGAGCTGCTGGAGACTCGGGCCCTGCACCAGCAGTGCAACCAGCAGGTGGGTCACGAGATTATCCCAGCTTTCATTTTGCTTTTTACATTTCCCAAGTTTATCCTGATTGTGCTATCGGCGTCACGGCCACAAGGCAGAGAACAACCTTTCGCAACTCTCGCCGAGCGTTATTAGAGGACGGCCCATGGAAGCAAATGTCACAGAGCTACTGCTGAGATCCCTTCAAGTGGCTTCTGGTCCACACAGTAGGGGCCAGCACTTTCTTACCCGCTCTGCCCCTGTTTGTCATGTCAAAGTCTTAACCGATATTTGAAATCCTCAGAGCTCGAAATTGAAGTGCAGAGTAAAATATTTGTGTGATAAGTTTTGTGCAGTCATTGGTGACCAACCTGAGACCATTGAAACTATTTACTATTTTTATTTTACTAGGTAAGAGGCCCACTGAGCTATATATATCTCTTTTTCAGAAGCAACCTGGCCACAAATGATAGCTCAACGAAGTGGCTTATCACGTGGTAATTTATAGCAGCCAAATACTCTAAACGCATGCTTCTGAATGCGGAGGGAAAAACCGGAGGACCCAGAGAAATATCCACGCAACCGCAGGGAGAACATTCAAACTCCAAATATACAGGCGTCAGGGTCGGGATCGAATCCGTGACCTCCTGTATACTAGGCGGGGTAGTTAACATCTCACCACCGTGGCTCCCATTTACTCACTACACTTGACATCGTACAGAATGGACGGCTCTGCGTCAATTTGTGATTTCGATGGAGAAGTAATAGGAATTTCGTATTGGGCCCTCAGGAGAAGCTTCCCCCTCCCCTTGCTCTCTACCTTCACCACCCCTGAACTCCTCCACCCCGCTCCCCGATATGGCCTGTGTGCGGTGTGCGTCTCGGTGGAGGAGGCCGAGAGTTGGCTCACCCAGACCTTGGCCATGCGAACCAACAACCAGGAGCTTCAAACCAGGTGAAGTTTGGTGATGTGGCAGGGAGAGAGGCTATGGGAAGGGCTGGGGGATCATGACTGTGTATATATGTTGGACTTCTTTTGTTCCTTATGAAGGACAACAAACCAAACACAAAAATATAGTTTTTTCCTATACAAGAACGTCACCAGTGCAGTCAGGTGTGCAGTGGGCATATCACCGCCATTTGCCATCAGCGTTGGAGTGCACCAAGGATCGGCCCTGTCACCACTCCTGTTTATCCTGTGCATGGACACGATCACTGCCGACCTGCACACGCCCCTTCCATGGTCAATTCTCTACGCGGATGACGTCCTCCTCTCAGATGAAGAGAGAGGAGAAGTGGAAAGACAAACGCGCCTGTGGAAGGAACGTTTGGACGAAAACGGGATGAGGTTCAACATCAAAAAGACGGAGTATATGGAGTGTGGCCCCCAAACCGACGGCACCATCAGTATTGACGGAGAAGATCTGAAGAAAGTGACGGACTTTAAGTACCTGGGCTCCACCATCAGCTCAGATGGTAGCATCACGACTGATGTGAGGTCACGAGTCAATGCGGCGTGGATGAAATGGAGGCAAGTCACCGGAGTCCTCTGTGATCGGAAAATGCCGGATAGGCTGAAGGGAAAAATATACAAGACCATCGTCCGACCGGTGGCACTCTATGGATCCGAGTGCTGGCCAGCCACAACTGTACACGAACAAGCTCTCCACACCATGGAGATGAGGATGCTCAGATGGAGCCTCGGGCTCACTCGATGGGATCGTGTCAGGAACGAAGACGTTCGGAAGCGACTTGGTGTGGTCCCCATTGCGGACAAGATGCTTGAGGCAAGGCTTCGGTGGTACGGCCATGTGATGCGAAGTGAAGAGTCATCAGTGGCCAAGACTGCCGTGCGTATTGAGCCAGAGGGCCGCCGTCCACGCGGACGTCCGAAGAAGCGATGGATGGACCGAATAAAGGAAGACATGAAGACGGTCAACGCATCCCCTGAAGATGCCCTGGACCGAGCCAAATGGAGAAGACAATGCCGAAAAGCGGACCCTGCGCCACAGCGGGAACAACGCTAGGAAGAAGAAGAAGCTTAAATATAAATGTCCTTAAACCAGCCACCACCCGACAGCCAATTAGTAAGGTTGTCACATAAACAAAGCATGCCATTTAGTTACTAGTTCAGTACACTGGTGTGTTGGAGAGTAAACACACAACATTTATTATGGATAATATTATTATGGATAATATTGGTTGCGAAAAGCCTACGTGTTAAACATAGATTTGAAGTTTTCGTGACTGCAGGGATCCATACTCTTTGGTTCTTTCGGTAAAGTCACGTAGGTATAAAATAAAAGAAATCACGACGTTTCGGGCTCAACACAAGCGTCCATCATCAGGTGGGACAACCACAGCAAGAAACAATTGCTGAAGTGCCCACTTCAGTGTCCACTGCAATGCCCACTTCAGCAATTGTTTCTTGCTGTGGTTGTCCCACCTGATGACGGACACTTGTGTTGCGCCCGAAACGTCGCGCTTTAATTTATTTTATTTTATACCTACGTGACTTTACCGAAAGAACCAAAGAGTACGAGTACATACACAAAAAACAGTTGTAAATCTTGAGCTATGGAGATCTGCGGCTCAACTATCATTCACTCCATCTCTCTGGCCTCTCTTTGTGCGACGAAAAAGGACCATCGCTCAAAACTTTGCATATTTATATTTAGCTTTTCCATTTAAGGCCGAGGAATTATTGAAAGATGTGTTGAGTTTTGTTGTTGATTGTCCTTGTGCACCACTGCCAATGCAGTGTCACCAAACCGTTTGATTCTGTGACTTGTGGACTCGTGAGTGTTTCAACCCCAGTGCCCTTTGGACTGTGGCAGAGAGAACGGTTTAACATAGGTGGCAGTAGAGGGTTGAAAATTAAACACATTCGTTGAATTTGGTATACGTTTTAATTCTGAGATATTGGTTGAGATTATCAGAGTTTTTTTATGATATTCAGTTTTGCCACGAACTAAGTGTGGTGATAATGATTTCTCCATAGCAATTTCCAAAAGTGAAATATGAACATATTGAGTGTATTTTTATCAGTGTGACTGCGGGGCAGATAGCGACGACTTAGTTGTAAAATGAAACACATTTTAACTCTGCCCGTGCAGTCCACTTCTCGCTTTCTTACTGCTGCATGAAACATATATAATTTAGTTTGTCTGCCGGCATCTTATTATGAGATGGAGAGATTTCCATTTAGTACTCGCATCACGATGAGCAGCAGTTGCGCATTCGCCTCTCGTTGCAGGGGCTCGTGGTTCTAATCCAGCGGCCGCCCTGGTTATTGCTGCGGGTGTAATAACCGTGACAGTTTAAAGAGCCGTTTGCTTTACAGTGGATGTTAAAGATCCTCGGGCATCATTCGCAAGAGTAGGTCAATGTGCACCGGCATCTTTATTTACTTTTGCCAAATTCGAAAATTGCATTGCAAGACCGGTCGGTATCCATCGATTTACCAAAAGGGATGCGATCTTCAAAAAATACACGGAAAAAGACCTTTACTAAATGGGAACGGCTTATCCCGTCAATTTAATACAACAAAAATTAGGGATGCATTTCGCAAAGTCATCCCAACTCTACCCCTATCCTAAAAATATACACCACCTATATCACTTTTCACAATACAATAATAATGATAAATATTAAAACGATTGAATAATAATTAGTTTAAAACTAAAATAATTAACCATTTCAGGGAGCTCACTAAATCTGCATGTTGAAATGACTCGAAAGGTGATGTGGAGGCGTTATTGTTGCACTGTAGCGGTACCGTGACGCTATCGTAGATGGATGATGCAGCCTTCCCGGGTGCTTCTTGTTTGATGATCTCATGGCGTGTGCTGTCGTGAAATTTCGTTCATGCGGAAATTCAATTTCATGAATCGAAAAGTGTCCAGAACTTTAGTAAATTGAGGGATACGTGTGCTCAGTTGGGATTATACACATATCATCGCCCCCTACTGGCAGACTATTGTCCCAGGCCACTATTGCAAATGAGATAATCCTGGTAACCTGAACTCTCACCTGGTTCAACAAAATACTCGAGACACCTTTGTGTGTGCTGCAGACAGTCCTCGTCACATGTCGATCACAATAGAATTCTCAAACTCTTTGGTTCTTTCGGTAAAGTCACGTAGGTATAAAATAAAATTAAAATATATCACGACGTTTCGGGCGCAACACAAGCGTCCGTCATCAGGTGGGAAACATAGTCTGCTGCTGAGGCAGGCTGTTTTAAAAGGTTTAAAATGGGTGTAGCCCTAGGGTCGTAAAGAAGTGGCCGGGGCTAGTGATATCAATGTCAGAAATTTGCATGTAACTGTAGAAAAGGAGGGTGAGAATGAGAGATCTAAGAGAGACACAGAGAGTCAGAAATAACAGCTGACATATGTCAACCAAATGTAAAGTTAACTTGATCGCTAAATTCAACCTGTCAAAAAAGAAGCCAGATCCACACGTTAAAAGGTTAGATGTTAACAAGATTGTCATCAATCAGAGTAACATCCCAATTTCAGACAGCCTAAAATCGGTATTAGCTAAAGTATTGAATTTCGCAGTCACCCCTAAACATATCCCAGTGGATGATATAATCGCCCAGGTCGACGTAGCCCTCAAAGGCTTGGGACACAACCCGGCAGACGTTGCTAGATCTGAAATCGCTGCTATCCTCAAAAACGCTAAGAAACCCATTAGCAACATCAGCAAGGACGAGCGTTTTGAACTCTCTAAGTTAAAAAACAGAGATGACATTGTCATCCTCTCAGCCGACAAGGGCAATGCCACTGTCATCATGGATGAAACCACTTACAACAACAAGATTCAGGACCTATGTAATTATGGCAGCTATACCAAAATCAACAGAGATCCTACCAACTGCCTAGCTACAAAAAACAACAATATCATCACTAAATCGACTTCTCTAATCGATCAGATCAAGCAGAGCTCCCTAAAATCTTCGACTGCTAGACCACCCAGATTTTATGGCCTTCCAAAAATCCACCAAATAGGTACCCCGCTTCGTCCTATCGTCTCCACCATTAACTCACCCACCTACAAACTGGCCCGATTTCTGTCTGAGACCCTGCTTCCTTTCACGGGCAAGTCCACCTCAGCTGTACTTAACTCAGCTCACTTGGTTTCTCTAATCAAGGACATCTCACTGTCTCCGGATGATTTGCTTGTCAGTTTCGATGTAGTCTCTCTGTTCACCAATGTACCTGTACTTGACACCATTGCAATTATTGAAGACTTAGTCCAACAAGGACTGAATCCAGATGTACCAACTTTGGTTAGGCTCTGTCTTACCAACACATACTTCACCTGGAATGGTACATTCTACAAACAAAATGATGGAACCCCAATGGGTTATCCCTTATCGCCAGTGGTAGCGAATGTTTTCATGGAGAAATTTGAGACAGATGCCATCCAGACATCCACCCTACTTCCTTCCTTGTGGACGAGATACGTAGATGACACGTTCGTCATCTGGCCACATGGCCTACCAGCACTGAACCAATTTCTCAACCACATCAATTCCATACACCCGTCTATCAAATTCACCATGGAAGTGGAAAAGGATGGCAAGCTACCATTCCCGTATGTTTTGATCGAGAAGAGACCTTGATGGCTCGTTGGGACATTCGGTCTACTCGAAAGCCACCCACACAGATGCCTATCTAAAGCCTGACTCCCACCACCATCCAGCCCAGAAGAATTCCCTCATCAAAACACTACACCATAGAGCCCGTTGCATCTCTGACCAGGACCACCTAGCCAGTGAGTTGGAGCACGTACACCAAGTTCTCAGGATGAACGGATACTTGGACTGTACAATCCGCAAAGCTGTCTCCCCAGCCATGCGGAGACAACCTTCTGAGGATCCAACCAAAACCATCACTTTATCGTACATAGCAGGGGTTACCAAAAGGATTTCCAAAATATTAAACAAACACGATCCAGGTTCGTTTCAACACAGTACACAAAATCCGTGATTTAATCCCATGTAAAGGATGTGATTCCTGACATGCAATACCCTGGTGTCTACAAACTGAGTTGTGGTTGCGGCAGCAGTTACATTGGGCCAACGAAATGACGTGTCTCGGACCGCGTTCGCGAACACAAGGCAGATCTGAAACACGGTAGGACCAATTCCTCTGCCGTTGCCAATCATTGTTTTAACACTGTGGGCTCACACGAAATTATTTTTTCCAAGACAGAGGTGCTCTGCAAACCTACCGGCTTCCTTCAGAGATTTGTTCATGAAGCCATCCAGATATATAAACACGGACACAACTTCAACCGTGAGGATGGGTACAAACTGAGCAATCATTGGAAGGACGTTATTAACCAGGTAAAGTCTTAACTGACTATGATGTTTCCATCCTACCTGCCTATGTCAGCTGTTATTTCTGACTCTTTGTGTCTCTCACTCTATGCCTCTCTCTCTTAGATCTCTCATGCTCACCCTCCTTTTCTACAGTTACATGCTAATTTCTCACATTAACATCATGCTAATCTCTCACATTCACATAGCCACTTCCATGCTCTATAATTTCTCACATTAACATCATGCTAATCTCTCACATTCACATAGCCACTTCCATGCCCTCTAATTTCTCACATTAACATCATGCTAATCTCTCACATTCACATAGCCACTTCCATGCCCTCTAATTTCTCACATTAACATCATGCTAATCTCTCACATTAACATAGCCACTTTCGTGTCCTCGTCTAGGAGGCCGCTCTCCTATCTTACAGTTACATGCTAATTTCTCACATTAACATCACCAGCCCCGGCTACTTCTTTATGACCCTTGGGCTACACCCATTTCAAACCTTTTAAAACACTCTGCCTCAGCAGCAGACTATGCTTTCCCACCTGGTGACGGCCGCTTGTGTTGCACCCGAAACATCGTTATTTATTTTATTTTATACCTACGTGACTTTACCGAAAGAACCAAAGAGTATGGATCCCTGCAGTCACGAAAGCTTCAAATTCTCAAAGTTGAATCAGCCAAATTGAATGGCTAAGTAAATGCAATATTATTTGTTATCAGCAGCAGGTAGTGCAGCAAAATCCGTTGTTGGACTCGTACCATGCCTTGACCAACCCACAGTGGAGTATAGTCAAACAATCGCCATGACCCATGCGGCTCGTGGAGGACCTCATCCAGCGATGGGTTGACCAAATGGTTTTACATGTCCAGTCATTGCTGACCACACTGACACTGTTAATTGGGTGCGATGCAAAAGTCAAAGAGATTTCTTGCTCCTAGGTATCGAGGCATTGGTGCTCGTCCATTTCCAGCCCTGAGCCAGCGGTGGAAATTCCAGATTCCTGTGGTAATGGCGAGTCTATCCGTGGAACAACCCCTGTTGAATTTCCCACGTAGTGGTACTCATTTTATTGACCCCCGGAGGAATGATGGGCGGCGTCACCTGGCTATGCTTGTGAACCACATTTAATCTAGATTGTAACTTGTGATCGCAGCAGTGCCGGCAGGGTTTCTCTCGACATGACGCTACCCTTCTGGGCCACCAGCCCGGTTCTACACTGAAGAGCCGACGGGCCCCACAGCAACCCATCTGTGCGTTGGCACTGCCGATGATTGTCCTTTGCTGTACTCAGGTGTCACGGGCAACGACAAAGATCGACAATGTAGTGCGCTCGACTGAAGACGCTCAACTGCAACAAACTGCGCGGCGCTTTAGAGTCCGCTGGGACCGTAAGGGTGCCATGAATCATCCGCCTGAGAATGTGCAAAAATTATGGCCATAACAACGATTTAATATTATTTCATTACGCACTTTGTTGCAACTATTTTTGGACATGAGAGGCACAGTTGTGTAATTGTTTAATTACTGTAAGGACATCATGGGTTCGCAGCCCTGGCAATGGCTCTCACAGCGAGTGGAGGGCAATTCTCTCTGCCCCCTTGATTAATAGTGCTCTCTTCGTTCGAGATGGCAACGGTGCTGTTCCAAGCAACTTCCCGCACGAGCCGTGCGACGAGAGTAAATGTTACCGGATTTATTCATCACTGCTGGTATTGCCAGAGGTAATGGCCTCGCTGGGTTAGTTAACACTTCGTAATTGGTTGTGATGGCAGCGGTTGTCATAATAACTCGTAACCCCTCGTTCCCTCCCGTGACCTCCTGCTGTCGAGCCTCCGCTACTCCACGTAGCCTTGAGGCATGCGCAGTGGTGAAGGTCGGGCGCGAGCGGTGGGTAGCCTCACCGCCTCTTATTTTTGAATAGCGGCTGTTGCAGCAGTTCTCCTGATGACAATAATAATGTCATCAGGGGAACTGATGATGACAATAATGATGATGGCTATGATGATAATAATGTTTGATAATGAGGACAATGCCGATGGTGATGATCAGGATGAAAATTACTATGATGTTGGCATTGATGATGATGGATTTTATAATGCTGTATTTAATGATCATGATGATGGTGTTGGTATCCAGCCCCCGGGTTTACCGAGGCATAGATGGCGCTGGTGCAGGAGCTAGCGGAGAGCCACAATGCACGCCAGTCACCGAAGGCCGAGTGGTGTCAGCTGCAGGAGCGCCTGCACGATGCAGTGGCGCAGCTCGCCCTGCTGCGCAAGAACCATCCTCCGCAACCTCGACGCCGACGTTCGGCTGGCCAACCTCGTGGCAAGTCTCTCCAGCCGTCGCGACCCACGCGGGTCACCCCGGCCATCGCGACCTTGCCACATCCCCTCCTCCCACTACGACCTCACCAGACCCCTCGACCATTATGACTCTCCCACACCATTACTATCCTTACAAGCCTCTCTGACCGTCGCGACCTTTACAAGTGTCCCTGACCATCGCGACCCTGACAAGTTACCCCATCCATTGTAAGTCTGCCCAACGCTTGTAGCTGCTCCCATCCCTTACGCGGTCTCGCCGTCACCTCCATGACCCCTAACACGACTCTCATAACCTCTAAAACTGCTCGGCGCTCCGCGCGTGACCGCATTGATGCTTTTTTTGGAGCTTTGGTGTCAGTCTCGCCAAGCCTCTCTCGAAACAACGGGGAGTGACCGGCTTGGCGTAGCGTCCCAATACGGCCGATCCTCGACACGAAGGGCAACCCTTTAGTCTCAAGTACTGTTCGGTTTTTACACATTTTTTTAAAATTATGATGTTTTTACTACACCAACATGTGAGCCTGGCATACTTCACCGAGAGGTTCCAACAATAAGATCGAGAGAAAAAAATCCACGGACATCCATTCCGACGTGCAATGGAACCACATGAAAGGGGGCGGAACGAAGGGGAATAGGGCCCTGATGCCCCAACCAGGCGAGGACTTCGTGTAATCCCATTTAGTTTATGCTCGTTTGATGGTGAATTTTTTTATACCGCGTTTTTGTTGACCATTGAGTTTGGTCTGCGATCACTTCCTGACTGAGTGATCATCGCGAAGGCCCACCCCATCCCCCCCCGCTGTGTTCTGGCGACGCGAGACGAACTGCACGGGAGGCTTAGTTGCCTAGATAATGTAAGACGGCGATGGGAATGGCACAGGGCTATGTCTTCATTGGGAACACAATGTGCTTCATTTTTGCAGGTCGGGACTGTCAACTTGTAGCAGAGGCCCTGCCCAATGGGTTTTTCAAAGGGGTTAGTGGAGACATTTGACTGAAGAGCCACAGTGTTACATTCGTATAAAATTCAAACAGCGCGTATCACAGATGGCCTACGCAGCGCGTATATCACGGTGTGTATACATGTAGACGACTAACTTGCCCCCTCTAGAAACGATGATGGCTGTGTTGGAAGTATAGTTACTTTATATTATCCTTAGATTAATTACAATTAGAACAGACCTATCCGGCTGTGACACCAACCCTAGCGCAGTGTACCGCAGGAGTCAGCGGATGCGCACGCCCTTTGTCTCCAGCAGCAGAGCATCTTTGTCTCTGTAGGGCGCTCCGAAGGCGCCGATTCAGATCCATGAAGACAAACCGTGAATTGTACGCGGGTGTGAATGTAGCCTTTAATATTGACGGGATTGCCAGGTGTTGTAGGCGTGGGGCTCCAAAGGTGGCCAGGAGATGGTGATGTTGAGCGGTACCCCCTGGTACATGCTGGGTTTTTTTCTGGGCTCTCCAAATTTCCTCCCACACGAAGCTAAGCCCTCATTAATAGTCTTGGGAAAACGTCTTAATTATAGGTCCCTCCTGAAGGACAGTATTGAGACTCAATAGGGTTGTTTTCTGGGCAAATAATTAGTGGTGTGAATGAGATATTCAAAAATACACACGGAATAGCATTGCTTTATTTGTTAATGTATTAACACCTAACAAATGTATATTAAATAGGCAGCCAGCACACAGGGTGATGTTTGGATATCATCACAATGGGTGGAGTGGTGACCCAGGGGATCGCCCACTGCCATATGAACCCGACAGCCTGAGTTTGATCACTCTCTGTCGCCAGTGACGAGTGATGTCTGAGCCGGACCTCATGAAGGGGCCCCCCCGCCCATTCATGAAACCTGCACGGACTGGTGAAGTATAACCCACACGCCGTGGGGAGGCTGTCAGAAATAGATTAACAAAGGGCTGTAAATTATTATCCTGATCATATGCAATGATAAATATGTATCGTGAGGAAAAGCATTAAAGCTGCAACTGTGTGTGTGTGTTTATATATGCCTGTGTATTGATATAGGTGTACTGTATATTTAAATGTGACCTTTTTACATATCTTTATATGCGGAACTCACGTTTGGGGTATATGCAGACACGCGTGTCTGCTTTCAGTGCACTAATCTGCACATGTGCGCACGTGCTCACGGACGGACGCACGCACGCATGCACATGCGCGCAACACAGAGAGGACCCCTTAGATGCTTCGTGTTCATCTTTGGCACTGTTGCTTTATTGCGGGGGGCAGAGGTGAAGGCGCGCGATACGACGATACGAGAGGATGAATGCGGCGGAGGAGCTCTCTCTCGGAGGCACTGTGGGGGCATTTTGCTTCGAAAAACAAAACAAAAATTGCGTGTACAAGTGCCGGTCTCGCGAGCGTGAGCGAATGGCGGCGCTTGGTCTCGTACAGCAACGACGGCGGGAGACTAATAGAGGCGCGCGCGCGTGTGCCATACACGGACGGATTGCATCTGTATTTTTCATTAACAAAGAGGCTCGTCTATAAAGTGGGGAAATTGGGTCATGGGATATATTATTTATTTCATGCAAACAAGCCCCTCGCGTTTTTTTCTCTCTTTCTCCGGCCGTTCAAGGGTCACCGAGCAAATGCATCTCAAAAGCACAATGTGACTGTCTCTCATAATTAGCTGCTACATGCTTAAGAGCATATCATTCTTTTTTACGTCAGAAGTCATGATTTATATAAATGAAACGTAAAGCTTTTTAGAATAAGTTTGATGTTGGCGCTCTGTGCTTTAATGGATATTTGTCTCTGGGGAGGGGACATTTGTTTCTGCGGCGAGCTGCCTGGCGGTGTACGTTTCGGCGTGTGTGTGTGCGCGCGACCGTGTGTGATCGTGTGTGTGCGAGACTGTGTGTGTGCAACCGTCTGTGTGCGCGACCGTGTGTGTGTGTGCGCAAAACCGTGTGTGTGCGCGACCGTGTGTGTGATTGTGTGTGTGCGAGACTGTGTGTGCAACCGTCTGTGTGCGTGACCGTGTGTGCGCAACCGTGTGTGTGTGTGCGCAAAACCGTGTGTGTGCGCGACCGTGTGTGTGATTGTGCGTGTGCGACCATGTTTGTGCGTGTGTCTGTGGGCATGCGGAGCGGTAGTGTAGTGGTTAGCGCATTGCGTTCTGAACCCAATTCCTGGTCATGGCCAGCACCAATGACGTTTATCCGAACCAGTGCTGGGCCTCCCTTAGTTCGACTTAGCCATAAATAAGTACCTGGTACGATGTGTTGAACATCGTCAACCAGGAAGACAAAGGTAGCCCCTTGTGTGCAGTGCCTTCTTCATAGCTGTTTACTAACAGCACGGGCCCCAACATTCTGTTATGGCATTATGGGGAATCTTTGTTTCTATGTGTCTCTGTGTATGTGCCTGTGCGTGTGAAGATTAGGTCGACTCATCCTCAAATGAGTGCCTGGTGTGGTGTGTAAACATTGCCACTGGGGAGACAAAGGCGGCCAGGTGTTGTGCTGGCCTTCATAGGTGCTCACTAACAGCACTTGGCACAACAGTCTGTTTAGGCTATACAGGGCTCTTTGTCCTTGTGTTTGGTGGAATAGTGTAGCGGTTAGCGTGCTGCACTACGAACCCGGCAACCCGAGTTCGATTCGTGCTCACGGCCAGCACCAGTGACGATTATCTGCAACTGTTCTGAGCCTCCCCTAGGTCGACACGGCCTGAAACAACATCGCCACTTAAGAGACAAAGGTGGGCGCGTGTGGTGCTGACCACCCACCCCTTTGCGTGCCGTGCCAGCCTTCATCGTAGGTGCTCGCTAACAGCACTTGCCCCAACAGTCTGTTGAAGGGTATATGGGGGATCTTTGTCTTGTGTGTGTGTGTCCACCGGAGCATGCCCGCACACCCCCCTCTCCCCCGCGGGCTGTGCTGTCTGCCGACAGCCACCATGAGTGTATGCACGACGACGCATACATTATCTCCCATTATTTACGTTGGCCCTTGCGCAGATTGACAAGGAAAGAGGGCTCTGGGAGGGTGCTCGGACAAGAACGGTGCTGTGGGGGTGGCGTTTTAAATGGGATGGTGTTAGGGCACGAGGAAGAGAGCCACACGCGTACACACATACGGCAGCACATACAATATAGACGAAGCCCATGCCTCTATAGCTTCTAATAGACTGTTGGGGCAAGTGCTGTTCACGAGGAAATTATGAAGGCTGGCACAACGCACGTGGGGGTGGGCAGCCCCTACCACTCCTGACCGCCTTTGTCTCCCCAGTGCTAATGTTTATATACTGTAACAGTTATTAATTTAAAGCTGAGTCGATCTCGGGGAAGTCGAGGACTGGTTCAGTTAATTGTCGTACACGTTAGCCGTGAGCGGGAATCGAACTCGGGTCGCCGGGTTCGTCGCACAGTGTACTAATCACCGTGCCAGCGCTCCCCAAACTGAAAAACAAAATGCACGGTCGCAAGGGCGCACTCTCACACGAAACCATGCAAACACAAAATACAAATCCCGTGCAAATCACCTGATGTACTACGATTGCGGTAAAATGGCGTGCGGGCGTGTACACGACACTAAACGCGTATGAAGAACCGTGGTGTCGTAAACCGCAGAGAACCATTATCACGTAGACACACGCGTTAACACGTACACACACAAAACTCATAAATTCATAAATGCACGATTCGGGGGGGGGGAAGCCCACTGCGATCCCAAATCATATCAAATGTGCGCCCTTATTTATTTATTTATTCATTTGGATGCACTGATAGATGCAGCACCTCTGCTGACAGTTCATACGGCACCGGTGGGGGGGAGTGGGGGAGACAAACCCCCCCCTCCACTCCCCCCCATCTGAAATAACTGCGCATGCTGCGAGGAGTAAACGTTACCTTGAGAAATTGCCACTGCGATTTTCTTGTCATGGTCATCAAGCAAACACCCATAGAGGGGTGCCCAGGGTGGCTCGCTTGCCTGACACCACTCTGACATCTGATTAGTAATGACTTC